TTTCCCTGAATTGAAGCTACAAAAGAACACCTCGACGAAGCCATATCTACAAACTCGATCTCGATTTCACTTCCAAACAAAACCCTAAATACCCTTTTTTTTTTTGTAAAAAGTGAATTTTATATATACTAAACTTTACAAAATATTCGGCATTCAATACGAAATGTCACACAAAAGACGGATTCCATCTTTTTTGGATAAGCACAACCCTTCTAGAGCGGAAGCCCAAAAAACTAGCAAAGACGCCCTCAATACACCGAATTCCAAGTTTTCCTTCAATGAAAATGTTCTTGTATGATTCCATGGATTTAACCAAAAAAGTTGGAGTTTACACGGAAACGAAAGAAAAAAAAAGGGTTCCTTGCACATATAGGAGTTGAACACAAAGTGAAGGCAGATTCCATTTTTTAATGCAACAACTATAGGAATGACAAACATAAATTTTGCTGACTTATCAACGGATCTTTTGCTTAAGTAAGATAAAGTATTGCATATCCTTTTGGCACTCTTTGAAATCAATAGGGTCTTTGTTCCACTTCTTAGCAAACCGATCAAATAGTTCATCAATCGCACCATCTCCGAAATGTTCTTGTATGATTCCATGGAAGGTGGCTCGATGCATGGAAGCGATGGTCATTGGTAAACGGCATATCCTCCATAGGATGCTTCACTTCTTCCATGATCTCAATGTTGAAGCTTCCATTTTGCTCTATCACTTCCTTCAGTTCACTAAATTGTGGGAGTATAACGGTAAGTTGAACGACTCGACCTTTTCCTCATTTGTTATTCCCTGCACCGACGCAAACAAAGAGAGAAACATACTATTGTGAACTATGGTGCTGTTTCTCTTTGAGTCTTCTATTTTTGGTTTGAACATTTTGAAATATTAGCATGGTATTGAGAATTATATCGAATTTAAGGTGCGTTTATATATTACTATGTTTCAATTTTATTAATTATAATATTAGGAATTATATTTCTTATGATGGGATCGAGTTCAAACTTGAAGAGTCGATGTCTAAATATTGGTTGTCGATTATTAGAATTTAAAACGTAACAAGATAAAAAAAAAAAAAAGACTTTCACTGTAACATTTTGTTTTAGTATATACTTTAATCAGGTGGAATTTCTAAACTACTTTACCCCTACAAAAATATATATATTTGGTCGGAGACTAACCTAATATCAAAACTGAGCCAAGAGGACAGTTTCGAGCTTTCTTACCAATTTGGCCATATCGATTAGACAATCCCCGATCATGTCATATATAACACCTTTCCATGTCCGAATCATCTTTACACCATCGGGCAGACATGGTCCCAACATAATCATCAATCCTTCGGAGACAAATTCTTGATCTCTAGCTTCAATGAAA